AAAAAATTAAATTAAATTATTTCAAAAAAATAGGAATTTTAAATAGTTAATTTGATACTAATATCGATATATTTTGGTCAATTTTTTATGATATTTTCAAATTTATATTTTATTCAAAAATAAAAACATCATCGTTTTTTTTTTAAATCACATAAGACCATACTATAACATTGACTGAGATAAAAAATAAAATAAAATATTAAAATCAAGATGTATCGTGTTGTATTACGCGGGTACCCTTCTAGTAAACAATAATGATGAAATCTAATCAATTAATTTTGTGATGTTGGGCTGGTTTTATGCCTCTAAACCTAGCCCATATATACGCATAATAAGAGCAAGGACTGAAGAAGAGTCAGGCGGCCCACAAAATGATTTCCAAAATATTTTGTTATCCAAAATACAAGACGAGATAAGATATTAAAATAAGTAGATTGTTCTTATTTTCATAAACATGTTAAATTTTATTCTAATAAATCTAAAATCAAAATAAATTAGTTTAATACAAAAAAATCACAACATTATATGATAATTAATAAACTAAAAGCAAAGGAAACTCAATTTGATTAAAAAAACTTAACGTCACGAGTACCAAAATATATCGAGTTATATTCAAAACCATATCGAGTAGTATCCAAAACCATATCGAATAATTGTATTTTGACTTGACATCCAAAATATTATATTTTAACATAAAAAAATAACAATTTTAGATTCTAAACCTAGTTAGGAAATAAGAAACCATTAATTAATGATTTAGTTGAAATAAATAATATATATTTAATTTATTAATTAATATACATAACGGGTACAAGACGGGGTGGGTAGGCATGGGAATTGGCCCCAATCTGTCGAGGAACCCGATCTACCCTCCCCGGTCGGGGGATTCCCCGTTGAACCGACTCTCGGGGACGGGGACATGGATCCCTGTTTGGCACAAACCGGGAATGGGGACGGGAGCGGGTGTCACACCCCCCTCCGCCCCGTACCTTTATATATACTAGAAAGGTATTCGTGCAATGCATCGAGATACATATGGATTTTAATGGTTTATTTTATTCTTCGTTTCTGTCGATGTTATAATACGATTTTATGTGTTTTTTAAGAAAACAATAATGATTTTATTTTTGAATAAAATATAAATTTGAAGGTATCATAAAAATTTAAAAAAAAATATATCAATGCTAGTATCAAATCAACTATCTAAAACTCCTCAAATTTTTATGTAATTTCTTTAATTTATTTTTATTATAGTTTAATAATGAAATAATTTATTTTTAGTTTATTAATATAACATTTTCTAAAGATAATAATTAAGTATTCTGTTA